GGGGGGGGAAAGGAGATGTGAGAGGCAAGGGAAGGGTGAGCGAAGCACTTGCGATAGATAGGCTAGGCATAGCTTAGGAAGAGGCCGATATTTTTGTTGGGGGAAGACGGGATATAATGGGTTAATGATACGTGCTCTCTCACACACATGGGCCGTTACGACCAACAGGATGGCCGTGAGGTTTCGAAGCCTTCTTGGTGAGTGACCTGGAAGTCGAAAATTTTCATTCATGGCTCGACCAGACCGTTTCAACACCTGAACCTCACAACACCATAACAGGAAGATGAAAAGTTTGCTTTAATGTCGTGATTTATTGGGGCGGCTCCATGCCAACCATGCTATTTTTCGATGATACACCGTGGACCCTCTGAAAAACCAAATCAAGCCATTTGCAAAGAAGCCTCAAATCAATCTAATCCCAAACGCAGATTCCTCTAAGCCTCCGCCTGTAAGCATTGTCAGTCCCAATCCCTCCTCTGCAGTAACAACTTGTCCCAGAAGGATATGTCATATCATACCTTGATAGCAAACTTCCGCTGAGGGAAATGAATCGCACGCTTCTTCGTCTTATCCAGGGTCTTGCCGCTCTCGTGCTTGCTCAGACGTCTTCGGATGGCGCGAGTCTGCTTGGGTCGGAGATCGAGGGGGAGGTACTTCTTGCCCTTGTAGAAGAGGCGGAGCTGTGCGCGCTGGTTGGCGTTGATGACGGTCAGGACCTTTGCGATTGACTTTCGGAGATCGTGGCTGTTGTAATCGAAGAGAGATTAGCCATGTCCATGTATGTCCTTCAACTTGAACTTCAAGCGTCTACAACACCATGACTGGTGTGTGAGTCTGTTCTGGTATATATTTACGCACATCTTTGTGAGTTTCGACGCTGATCCTCCGGCAATCTTCTGTACTCGTAATTGACCCAGCTCCGTCTTCAACTCGCCGAGTTGCTTTGCGAGATCCGCCTTGTTCTTGGACCAGAGTTGGCCAGTCTTGACTTTTCCGGACGACTGTCGCATTCACAAATTAGCCATCATGATCCCCAATATCTATTTCTAACATCGCATCGCATCCGCATGGCATCCTTACCATGGTGAGAGTTTGTCGTGAAATGTGTTGTCGAGAGGGAGAGTGGTCGTCGTGGAAGTCGTTAACTTTTCGTGATCAATTTTTTGATCTGTCTGTGGGCTTCGTTCGCTTAGTTTTGGTGCGGGCCAATCGATGAGGCGGTGGGGGTTTATCAATGTGAGGCTAGTTCCAAGTCACGCGACGCGCCGCGTTAAGCCTAGCTTGGGTGGGTGGTCCAGCTACGTCTAAATGTTTGAAGAGCAAAGTATCACTGAGTACTACATCTTTCACAGAACACAGCGCATTGAAAATGGCTTCTGCTACAGGTACAGGATGGGCGCAACTTCGACAGCAGGCCCGGACATTGGAAAATCAGGTAAACTCAAGAGAAAGTCTTTCAAGAACATGAGCTGATCTCTCTCAAAGACAGAAACACTATTCCATACATACTCCCAATTCGCATCCGTTCCAAACATACCAGCGAAACCCACAGAAGATGAAAGTCAGACGGAGTCAAAAATACAAGACACATTAGAAAAGGTAGATCCCACCTACCCAGATGCCCAAACCAGACGTTGATACCCATCCAGCGAGAAGCCCTCATATCACAACTTACCCGCCTCCTGGACTCCGAAGCAACCCTCACAGCCTCGGCCCTAAAGCAAAACAACCTCTCCCGCCACCATGAAATCCTGCAAGAACACCACCGCGAACTCTCGCGCCTCAGATCCCAAATCCTCGAAGCTCGCAACCGCGCCAACCTGCTCTCAAACGTGCGCTCCGATATCGATGCCTACCATTCCAGCAACCCCGAGGCCGCCGAGGCCGATTACATGTTGGGAGAGCGCGCGCGCATAGATAATAGTCATAACATGGCGGATAGCGTGCTCAGTCAGGCATATGCTGTCAATGAGAGTTTTGGGCTGCAGAGGGAAACGCTGGCTAGTATTAACCGCAGAATTACCGGGGCTGCGAGTCAGGTTCCTGGGTTGAATAGTTTGATTGGGAGGATTTCGGCGAAGAAGAGGAGGGATGGATTCATTATGGGGGGCTTTATTGCTTTTTGTTGTTTGTTGTTCTTGTATTTCATGTGAGAGTTTGGCGGAGGACAGGAAAGGCTGGCACTATTTCAGGCTTAAGGAGCGGCACATTGTTTAGGACGAAATATGAGCGAGACGAGGAGATCTGAATGCATTCAGCGGGTGTTTTGGGGTGGCTGGCTAGCCAAAATTATGGTGTACAAGTATGGGTATCTTTACAATAATATCATGCCGTCGAGGCAACGTCCTTTTGGTTATGGACCGATTTTGCCTCGATCGCTTGCTTTCGAGGCAGCATAGGCCTCTCTTTCCGTTTCGTGTTTGCCTCTTCAACCAGCCGTCTCACACTCTTCACAAGTCCCTCCTTCTCTTCACCCTCAGCTTTTCCGCTCCCTGCCCATCTAATCCTACAATTTCCATCCAGCAGGTATGTATACCCAACCTTGCTATTCAGCAATCCAATCTCCTCCCTCATCTCCTCAGTAAACCCTTTCCTGACCAAGAAATACCGTCCCCAGTCCTCGGGCGCCCGCTGCTTCCTCAGATTATACATGAAGAACTTGACAATCATAGCCTTCATCCAGTTTGGCTCATGATTAATCTGCACCATCTGCGCCACTCCCCCACTACCTTTCACCACCTCTTGTAATTCCGGATTCTCCTTCTCCGATACGAATGTATTGACCTGGTTTTCTGCCCACTGCGTGTTGAATGTGCTAACAATAGACACCTTATCCTGGAAAACGGGCGTGGTATCTCGGATCTTCTTGTCTTTGAGTAGAGTTTGACCCTGGAGGTTGGGGAAGAAGAGGGCTCGTTCGGCTCTGAAGAGTCCGGGTGGGGCGAGGAAGGATTTCCCTTTGCTGAAACGCATGTTGCTCCATTCTCGGAAGTAGGGTTTGGCTACTTTGTGTGTTCTGTTACATCCCGTTAGTCTCTATCCAACAAATACAATTGGGAACAGGATGTAATGGCAGTTTCCATGAGAGGGTTTGGGGAGCCCTTCGTCAACCAAGAGAAGCCATATCCTATTCCCACTTGCAATCATGTATTATCTGTGTGCCGTACAATTCTTTCCTCCTTTCCAAATGTTTGTCATAATCCACAAAGTCATCTCTCCTCTGCTGTAGCGTCCTTGTATCCTTGCCACTATTCTCCCCAGCAAGCGGCGGATTCGGTAGCCCAATAGGTCGATTCAAAGGCTTAGGTGTGAACTCGTCGACATTCTGACCGTATGCTCGCGGGGCACCTTCGAGTGGGGATGGAGGAGGGGTTGGAGGAGTTGGCGCAGCTGCACCTAGTGTAGGAGGGACGGACGGAGAAGGAGGGCCTTTTGAGGTGCTTGGCTTCTCAGCTAAGTGCCGATATGAAGAGCTGAAAGAGCGCCATTGACAGAGTAGACATGCCGCAGATTCGAAGTTCGCCTTGGCAGAGAGCAATGGTCTTCGTGTGAGAATCATGTTGTTCTATGTTGCATTGTGTTTGAGGCGCGTCAGAATCGAAGCTATCCAAATTTCTTCCGGCCCGTTTTTGATATTCGCTAAGCCAGGGGCTCCCCTGTTGGTGATCATATAGGTCTCTCAAATAATTATTGCTTATTTTCTATCTTGCTTTCAATATTTAGCTGTGTTTTATTCTACAGAATCCTTTGATATACAAGAGCCATAAGCTATTCGCAGAGGTACTCTCAATACATTAAAAGGTGAGTAGTTTACCTAGGTACTAGGGCTAGGTACTTTTAAGCCGCCCCTCCAGTATCCCGCGGATAACCGGTGTGAAATGCGGAGAACCCCAGATATAAGACAACCCCTCGTTGCACACAAGAATGTAATTCCCAAACTTCCCTCCTCTGTCTTGGAGATTCCCAGAAAATACTCCTGGCATTATGCGTCTTCAAGTATATTCTCGAGTCTCTTCAAGACAATGGCAGGTCTACAAGAACCTCAACTTCCCCAGACCATTCCCCTCAGCACGGTCCTTCCATGCAACAACGAGAGCTCAAGCCATAAAACCGTTTCTACTAGCGGATATCGGTGAAGGTTAGTTTTTTCATCCTCGGTATTGGATACCGCATTAATTGGCATATAAGATATTGCCTTCTACCTTGGATGGATGGTTTGGGAGTTTCTTAGGGGAGCCGAAGTTCAAGTGGATAGCTATGCACCAGCGAGGTTATTGTTACTCCTTTGAAGCTCCTTTGATCATTCATTCAAGGTAGGTTTCCGTAGTATCTTTTATTCTAGTTCTCCCATTGGAACCACTTCACTCTAACAAGTCAAACAGGAATCAGAGAATGCGAAATCATTCAGTGGTTCGTCGAGCCCGAAGCCCGAGTCGAGGAATTCGACAAGCTATGTGAAGTTCAGAGCGACAAAGCTTCCGTGGAAATCACCAGCCGATTCCCAGGGATTGTCAAGAAGCTACACTATGAAGCCGGTGAAATGGCCAAAGTAGGCAAGCCCTTGGTGGATATTGACATACAGGGAGAGGTCAAACAAGAGGATCTGGCGGCTTTGACAGAACCATCGGCAGGGGAGGAGTCGAAAGCCCAGGTAGACAAGACTCCGGGCTCCTTGTCATCGGCACCCAGTATGGAAACACAGCCAGAACTAGAAAATGTATCGCTGTCGAAAGGGAAGCATGGTGCGTTAGCAACACCAGCAGTCAGGCACCTGACTAAAGAATTGGACGTCAATATCTCAGATGTCCAAGGCACCGGAAGGGATGGACGTGTTATGAAAGAAGATGTACATCAATTTGCAAAGCTACGAGATTCTGGTGCCTCTACAAGAGGGCCAGCCTCCACTTTACCAATCGACACTCCAACGCAAACGGAAACAATAACCCAATTATCAAACACACAAAGTATGATGTTCAAGTCCATGACAAAGTCCTTGACAATCCCACATTTCCTATATGCGGATGAGATAGATTTCAGCAGGCTCTTAGACCTTCGAACGAGGTTGAACAAGGGGCTTGCGAAATCACCTACAAATGATATCAGCAAGATATCATACCTTCCATTTATCATCAAGGCCGTCTCAATGGCTCTTCAACAATACCCAATGCTGAACGCAAGAGTGGATGTGGATTCGAGTACCGGAAAGCCAGTACTCGTACATCGAAGTCAACACAATATTGGTATAGCAATGGATACACCATCAGGACTGATCGTCCCAGTCCTCAAGAACGTCTCAACCCTCAACGTTCTCTCCATAGCAGCCGAGTTAAACCGGCTTCAAGCCCTAGCTGCGTCGGGCAAACTCACCACTCAGGACCTGAGTGGTGGTACAATCACGGTCTCGAACATCGGCAATATCGGAGGCACAGTCGTCTCTCCCGTGATCGTGGAGAAGGAAGTAGCTATACTCGGCATTGGCAAGATGCGTCGAGTGCCAGGCTTCGACGAGGAAGACGACGTGATTGCAAGACAGATTTGTAATTTCAGCTGGAGTGCTGACCACCGAGTCATCGATGGTGCAACCATGGCACGAGCTGCAGAGGTGGTCAAGGGGTTCGTCGAAGACCCAGATAGTATGGTCATGCATCTGCGTTGATGCACGCTTCTTGGAGGCAGGAGCAGGTATCGGGTGTCGTGCCGGACCGCAGCATATGTGGGAGAAGTGCAGTGCAATATGCGAGCAAGGCTGTATTTGGGAGCAAGGTATTGGCTGTCCTTAAGCAATGTCTAAGGATTGGGGCTCAGCCTCATGCTGTAACACCGCATGCGTTGTCACGTAGCACGTTAAATGGAGATGCGGCCCTGCTACCCCGCAATAAGCAAATGTAACACAGCATAAAAAAATAAAGTTATAGATGGCAACAAGAAAAGTCACCTCTTGGCAGAGAGCAACGCAGTGAAAAATGTGGTCTTGTGATCTTGTCTCTGTGTTGTGGCAGATTTATATGACGCAAATCCTGCAGCCCGACGAACCCAACGCCCGTTTTCTGTCTGTAACTCGCCGTATTTCCCATTTCCCATGCAAGTAAGTACAGAAGGGGGAATAAAGAAACTGCAGTAAGACGCCTGGACCTGTTCTGTATACGCGCAACCCTTAGATCTCGCTCCGTAACTCCTAGACAGGCAAAAATTGCACACTGTTCTCATCCTTGGCCCCCCTCCATTCAGTCCTCAAGGTCTTCTGCTGACTTGACCTCGACGGCCTGGCGGATCGCAGCCAACGCATCTCTCTCCACCTCCTCCTCAGTCCCACTCACATCCACCGAGATAACGTCCGTCTCATCCGGCGTCGGTGCCTCCAGAATACCGAATTGACTCTTCACCATGTTCGCGCCCATAAAGTGACCTTTTCTCGCGCCGACCCTCTCGATCAAGACCTCCTGTCTTGCATGTAGATATACAAAGTGTAGACGCACGTTGTGCGAATAGTACGGCGCAACCCGGATCACGTCGCGGTATTTGCGCTTCAGGGCCGAGCAGGTGAGGACTACGCCTTGGGCCCCGGAATCCACCAGTTGGCGGAGAGCCTCTTCGCGCAACGTCGTAAGCCAGTCCCAGCGGTCGGCGTCGGTGAGGGGGATGCCTTTGGACATCTTTTCGACGTTTGCAGGGGGGTGGAACTGGAGCTTGTTAGAAAAGTAGAAAGTAAATCTGAGGAAATGGCTCTTACCTCGTCTCCTTCAATGAAAGGAAGCTTCATGGCTTTTGCTAAGTACTGAGCCACAGTGCTCTTGCCGCACCCTGCTGGGCCAGTCACCAGCCAAATGTGGGAATGGTTGGAGGCAGATTGACTTTTATCCGCACTCGTGCCGTTCGTTGTCTTTTTTGATGAAGGTGGAGAAGTGGATAGCGGCAGTACAGTTGAGGTAGTTGAAGAATTTTGTCCCATGGCCGGTCGATTCTCGTAGCTTAACATCATTATATGTTCTTAGCTCTTGGTTGAAGCGCGCCAAAGCAAAGTACGTGGAGATAAAGTCAGAGTATACAGTAACAGTAGGCGACTTGTACACGGTCTGATGATGTATGAATTTAAGTAGACAGCCAGGAGAACTACGTCACGCAATGAATCGCTACGAGTAGCTAGAAGATAGGAGTGAAAGTGATAGGGGTTATGAGAGTGAAAGTGAAAGCAAACAAATCCTTTGTAACAAAGGACAAAAAACAAAAACCCAAGGCGAAGGCGAGGGCCCCTTTATGAGGTAATAAATGTAGTTCCCATCTCCGCCGTGGTACAAAGAGGAAAGATGGCATGGGTCAGCAGCCCCACATAGAATACTAGGCTAGTTATAAGTAAATTTATCTATTTCGTACAGTACGAAGTACCGTGAATACTCCGTAAGCGTGATGACTAGCGGCAAGAATAATACCGTAATAGAAAAATCAGGGCGAGGGATATATATAATTGGTGAACCGCATGTCCGGTTCGAGAGTCGAGACCTCGCCTGCCTGGCCGTAGGGGAATCCGGGAAGTGGACAAGGGGAGGCCCGGGGGGGGGGGCAGTTGGAGTGTTGGAGTCTGAGTCTCAGAGGGCAGAGTGCAGAATTACCAAAAGAAGCCGCAGAAGGAAAATTGGTGCAAGCCGTCGAGTAGCCGAGCCTAGAGGGGAAGCGGTGAGATTGCAAGGGGGGGAGAGAGAAAGAAAATGGCAATTTTGCTGGCAGAAAAAGAAGGCGCGGGGTTCCTGAATTGAGAAACGAGATCTGTGACTCGTATGCGTGGGGGATGGCGGATTGGTGTTGATGAGTGTGATGACAGGTACACGGTACGAGGT